TGGGATGGGCGGGTTCGGAGAGGACAGGAGATGATCGCTGCTTTCGCTTTGAAATTTCGGGGGTTAGAAGTGGCAGAGAAAGATCGAACTTTGGCCCATAGGTTCCATATATGGGCTCCTACCCTGTGACCTTGTTTTGTCACGGGTCTCATTCTGCCGATGTACTGCCTTTAAAGGGTCGGGCATACTTCCGCAATTTCAGTTGCGACGCGGTTTGACAATCCCTGTCCTTGACTCACTATGAGCACATTTTAAATGTGTAGAAGGGCATTTTATCAATCAACGTAAGTATACACACTATGCATGTGCAGTCTGCTAGGTTAGGTCGGAAGACATCTGGCAAATTGCCAAATCGCGTCACGTCTAAAATTGCGTGGAGTATGGCCGGCCCTTAACCCTGTCCGAGTTTTCACCTATGAATATGCTACTTTTACATCATGCACGAAATGTAATATATTGATGAACCAGAATTAACGTATTTGAAAGTCATGGTACGAATTTTTATCATATTGAACTAAAGCTGTAATCTAGCAGATTGGATGCCTTGGATTTATTCTGCGGTATAACATTTGCGCGTAAAAAATGCCTTGCAGCACATATGAAGATCTGCGCTTTCAAGAAATTTACTTCTGAGCAAGTTTTTCGGCCCCATAAATTCCCTATATTGATCTTTGATTCTGCTAAATGTACATATGGTCCTCTCAGGCACATCACTGTCCAAATTCACTCGAAAGTAGTTGCGAAAGGAAAACAACAAACACGGGTGTTAATTTATATGTCCTAATTCTCGTTCAGCGCGTCGCACGAGGATTAGAATAATCGTATTAGCAATCCAAACCCTTCTATAGGCGACACTTAGCCTTGATTGATGGTGATACTTAATCTTCCGGCAGCGTTTTGCTTTCTTTCCATCTCTTTCTCGCTATGGAAACCAGATATTGCGGGTCCAGGATATTCTCCGCACGACCTCGATCATCTTCAAGAATCATCAAACATCAACACTTATCTCATATCAACTTAATTTCAGCAATGAAGAGGGGGGGGGAGGGAGGCAAAAGCGTGATAAGGATAGTGAGATAGACCTAAAAGAAAAGTAAATTTCCAGAAATTTCTCGAGCGCGTGCCAGTTTTGACACTTCCTGCTATCCGAAAGCATGAACGAGTGTTTGCATCGAAGACTTGGAAGAAGAGAAAGGTAAGAAGCAAATGATTTTTAGAGATGGGAAGCAGAAAAGCCCTAACATGCTTTATACCATTCGAAAGCTGAGATCATGGAGAATCGAAGTAGACCGTCGACTTTTTTCTAGGTCTTCTGCGCCGCGAGATATGAGGGATTTTATGTACCCCAAAAATCGCTTTTTTGTCCTCACTTTCTCCTCTCCGAATGAATGCTACGAGGATAAATAAATAATATATTAGGCTGGAAACTAAGTTTTGCAACTGGTTTCATAACTTTATTCTCTTTATATATGGCGCACTCAAACTTTGGAATTATTTAGAAGGCAATGTGAGCTACAAGTGAGCACAAATTGTCTAGATTCTGAACACGAAATAGAAAAGTTTCAGGCGTTTTTCGGAAACCAGTGAAATTTGAGAATTTTTGGGGTTTCAAGCTAAAATGAAGCCTTTGGCAGCCTAGACCATGCGCAGTAATCCGGATTCGTCTACAAATTATTGCTGGAGGTTGACTCCTTTGGCATATTGAGAAAGAAACAAAATTTATGGGCATGTCGAGATTTGGCGTCCTCATAAAGTCGAACGAGTCGATGTACGCAAGAGCTGCTGGGGACGACCGTCAATGACTAAAGACTCCGAAGCTCAAATTCCGCCGAGACTCTACATAGTAAGGTTATTTGACCTGCCAAACGCGAATATCACATTCATTTGTTAAATCAACGCCTTTTCCCTTGTTTAGGGTGAAACCCCACATCGTACACCCACAGTAATCCTACAAAAAAGTCCTTATCACGCAATTTCACTATCGTTTTCGTGATCAGCATGTCGGATAACACTCCTATGCCAAGTTTCAGCCAAATCCGTCAAACTTTGAATTTTTCCCCTTGATACCATGCACCTACCGTGACCCTCACTGCGACATCAGAATTTGGTAGGACAGCAGCTGCGCTTATAGCTTACGTAATAACCAATGCAGTGGCAAAATTTAAGTGCGCCATGTGGAGTGAGAGGGAAGTTATGAGACCAGTTGCAAAACTTAGTTTCCAACCTGATAAATAAACATAAATACCGTTTCTTTTGTAAATTTATGAGTGTACTTGTTGTTTGAGGTACTTAGCCTGCAAAACCTTTTAATAACGATTTTTATCATATTCTCAGAGTACAATACCAATCTCAGCCCAGGTGAAGGGGGTCATCGAGAGTTTGGCCTCAAAGTGAAGGGGGTGAGATCCATCACTCCCCCTATCGCAACTATGGGCCATTGTACCATAGTAAACAGTGTTACCATCTTGGTCGACCGCTCAATCACACATCCATCAAGCTCTTCATTAGTGTAAGATTATGGTTGGAATTGTGGAAAGGGTTTTCAGCTATTGAGAGCCTTATTTCGGTTTGCAAAGCAAATCAAACAACTTAAAACTTCTACAGTAGGCTAACCAGAGCTGCTGACATCAAGTGTGAATTTCGCGCTTTTCCACTGTGCTTACAAGGAAATGGTCAGAAGTCAAAGCGGCAAAACCAAACAAGCTGTATATCATTCGATGCAGTATAAAACGTTGATTTCGAATCTGTCTTCCTTATCTGCTTATCGATTCTGTGGACGAAGCTACAAGCAGTTTTATTGTGAAAAATCATATATAAAAACAGCGAAATTGAGCACATTGTTGCACCTTTAGCTCAGCTTTGGGCTCTAAGAATTTAGAGTAAGTTAGCTGCATGTTTTGGCCCAGCATTAAGCTGAATGTGGCTCTGGCTTACGGCTAAATTTTCATTTTCGCGCATAATTTCTTAGCAAAAAAATGTCCTTTATTGGCTTATAGCTTCGTCCAGAAAAGCGATAAGCAGATAAGGAAGACAGACTCAGAGTCAATGCTTCATGCTGCACCTCATGGTATGCAGCTTGTCTGGATTGGCCACTTCGATTTCTGACCATTCCCTTGTTAGCACATAAGTTAGCCAAGTAAACCGCAGTAGTTGTTCAACAATGCTCCCTAGAATGGTGATTACAACATTTCAGATTAGAAACTAGTAAAAAGATGAGTGATGAAATCAGCTCATGTCTTTTATTGGTATACAAATCCTGGTACAAAAATTTTCCTGCGTTAAATCACAATGACGCTATAGGCTAACAATTTGTATTGTAATCCTATAGTAATCAAAAGCGACCAGCGATTCGCTCCATACTGTAAATCCAAGTCGAAGCCAGCTTTACAAAATGGTACCTAGAGGAAGCAAAAGACTTTGTGGGAAGAGAATTATTTACGATTAAAAAGTTTTTACTTACTTTTGGGACACCCTGTATATGAGGAGTACATGTGCAGTAGTGGAACAGGATAGAGTATGGCACTGTTCACTTCAAAAATCAATACTCTTCACTTTCTACTTGTGTGCCTACACTTCCGAATTTTAGAGATCCTCCCTGAATCCCGCTCTGTATATTGCTAACTCAAATTATATGTTCAGAGGTGTGAGATGTTGTGTGTCTCGCATGCCTCCATCTGGCTTGAAATTCCAACCTTC